AATGGTGCACAGCAAAAAGAAGCAGGTCATCCGGAGTTGCTCCTTCCACACAGGATGCCAGGCCACTACTCTGCAAGGCAGAAGTGGAAGGTAGGATCTTTTTCCAATGGGTGATCCGCAGCTAGCAAGTTTTATTCCTTCTGTTATTTTCTGCTGCCATCAAGTTAATTGTGACTCAAGGGACGCCAGGCGTGTAGAGCAGAGCTGGTCCACGTGGCATCAAGGCTGTGACCTGTCAGGGGCAGACCACCACTTGTCCAGGGACTCTGGATGGGTTTGAACCGCCTACATTTCAACACACAGGTGGAGCGGTTAACCATTTACAACACTGTAGGAACTTGCAAAACTTGGAGAGACCCCATGAAAGGAAGGCGCTATCATTTTCCAAACACCCATGTGATCATAGAAAACTCTCATTGAGAAAGGATTTTTAAACTTTAGGAATTCTACTTGTTACAGAGCTCCACCAACTATAGCCAGTTGGGAAAATCGAGCAGCAGCCTGTTCAATGGGGCGTTCCAATTCAGAATGGTTTCTACATTTTTAAAGGGTTGTTTAAAAAAAAAAAAAAAGAGTATGTAACAGATTATAGAATAAAGCTTATCTGATTTTATAAGAAAAACTTTCAGTTAGGTCTTAAAGTGTGCAAAATAGGTAAGAGTCAGTTAAGAGTCAGTATTAAGAAGGAGCCCTAGAGGCATAGCAATTACACAGTAGTAGGCTGCAGTCTGCAAGGTCAGCAGTTTGAAACCACCAGCAGCTCCTCAGGAGACAAAATAAATAAAATCACTGGAGTGTGGTATTGTTCTTCAGCCCATTAGAGGATCTGTATTTAAAAGTTTGAGCCTACTTATGATGACCAGCCTTCAGTCCTATGGCCCTAATTATCTACTCCAATTGAGAATTGGTAAACATATATATATTTGATATGGAGTAAACATGGTACTGGTTTATTTTTATATTTCAGACCTACTATGTTGCTGCTGTTGCATCACTGCTGTAAGGTGCTGTGGACTCCCTTCTAATGCACAGGACCCTATCTATGTACAACATTGGTCGGCCCTAATTAGTGACTGTGGGCTCACTCACAGCGACAGCCAGCGTTGTCAGTCCATCTCCTTGAAGGCCTTCCTCTTTTCTGTGTAAACTACTTTACCAAGCATGATGTCATTCTCCAGGGTCTGGTCTCCTCTGAGAACACGTTCAAAATACCAGAAACGAAGTCTTGCGATCCTTGCTTCTACGGAGCATTCTGGCTGTCCTGCTTCCAAGAAAGACCTGTTGGTTCTTTTGCCAGTTCATGGTACTTCCTACATTCTCTGCCAGCACCGGAAGCAAATGCATTAATTCTACTCAGCCTTCCTTATTCAATGGCTAATTTTCACATGTATATGAAATTAAAATTACCACAGCTTTAGTCAGGCACACTTTAGTCTTCAAAGTAACATCCTTGCTTATCGACACTTTAAATGGATCTTTTATAGCAGATTTACCAAACACTGATAGTGGATCCAAGCAAGGCCAAATCCTTGACAACGTCAATCTTTTTTCTGTTTATCATGTTACACCTATTGGTACAGTTGTGAGGGTTTTGCTTTTTCACATTAAGTTGTAATCCATATTGAAGGCTGCAGTTCTTGATCTTCATCAGCAAGTGCTTCAAGCTCCCATTTTCGGCAAGCAGAGTTGTGTCATCTCTGACAATTAGCCTTCTACCAAACCTGATGGTGCACTTTTCACACAGCCCTGCTTCTCAGATTGGCTCCATGTACACAGTGAGTAAATGTGGTGAGAGGATACAAGCACCTTTCCTGATGTTAAACCATGTAGCATTCTCTTGTTCTGTCCAACTAACCCTCTTGATCCATCAACAAGTTCCATAAGAGTACAATAATGCGTGCTCAGAACAGGTTATCCAGTTTGTTATGATCCACAGTCAAATACCTTTGCATAATCAATAAAACACAAGTAAACATCTTTCTGGTATCTTTCTGGAAAGCAAAGACTTTCAGCCAAGACCCAGCTCACATTCAGCAATGACACCATTGTTCCACACTTCTAAACCCAGCTTGAACATCTGGCAGCTTCCTGTCAGTACTTGGATGATCTTCGGCCAAATTTTTATTTTGCATGTGTTATTAATGATGTTGTTCTATGATTTGCACGTTGTTAGGTCACCTTTCTTTGGAATGGATAAAATATGGATAGCTTCCAGTGGTTCAGCCAAGTAGCTATCCCCCAAATCTCTTGGCATAGAGAAGTGTGTACTTCCCAGGCTTCATCAGCTTGATGAAACATTCCATTGATATTTCATCAATTCTTGGAGTTTTGTTTTTGACTAATGCCTTCTGTGTAGCTTGGATTTCCTCAGTACTATGTGTTCTTGATCATATGCTACCTCTTCAAATGATTGACTGTCAATTAGTTCTTTTAGGTACCGTGACTCTTTGTATTTTTTCCATCTTCTTTTGAAGTTTTTGCATCACTCAGTATTTTGAAATAGAATCTTTCAAAGAAGACCCAACGATGGGTGCTCTTGGGTACCATCAGTTCAAATTCATAGCAACCTAATGTACAAAAGGAGACACTCGCTGGTCCAGCATCATCTTCATGATCTATGCTCCAACCTATTGTTGCAGCCAATCTATCAATTCATCTCCCCTTTTTCCCCAGTAGTCCTCTACATTGCCAGGCATGAGGGCCTCCTTTTTTAATACTGCATCCTATCTTATTACTGTAATTTTCTATTAAATTTGTTAACATAAAAATTGTTTCGGAGGAACAGTGTTTTTCGTTTTGTTTTTTGAGGGCCTCTCTCCTAACAGGTCATCCAAAGTACATGAGATGAAGCCTCCCGATCATCACTTGTACAGCATATTCTAGATGTGCTTCTCATCGGATTTGTTCATTCTTCTGGCATCCCGTAGTATCACTATTCTTTGCCAACAGTATCATTCCAATGATCAGTTCTTCTCTGGTGTTTCTTATTCATTGTTCAGCTTTCATCTGCATATAAGGCCACTGAAAATATCATCGCTTGGGTCAGAGGCAACTCTGCTTTTTAACACTTTAAAAAAGATCCTTATACATTTAAGTTCCTTGATTTCCTGACTACTGTTTCCGCTATTGCTGGTTGTGGATCCAAGGAAAAGAAATTCTTGGCAACTTCAATATATTCTCATTTTTGTTGTGACATATTAGCCCAGTTGTGGGGATTTTTTACATGAATAGGTGCAGTCTTTGCTCTTCCTCAGTAAGTGCTTCAAGAAACTTTTAGCACACAAGCCTGTGTTGTCTGCATACAGAGAAGCCCATCTCTAATTCTAAAACCGCCTTCTAAAACCGATCATTTGCTCAGCATACAGATTGAGTATGTGTGGTGAAAAAAGACAATCCTGACGCTTAATGACTTCAATTATTCATGCTACCCTAGCACCTTCGATCTGTGGCTACTATGGCACTTCTTACATTGCACAAGCATTTTCCTACCTTGCACCCATCCACTCTCCCCAAACCATTCACTGAGCCGACTACAAGCTTTTTATCTAGTTTCCTCCCTCCCACAGAATGTAAGTTTCTTGAGGTATGGGATTTTGTTTACTATCGAATCACTGAATACAGCAGTGTAATTACTGGAAAACTGTGATAGGAAGTCCTTTTCATTAAAAAAATGTTTAAATGCTGTTAAAGGATGCCCTTAAACAGTGGTTCTCAACCTTCCTAATGCCGCGATCCTTTAATACAGTTCCTCATGTTGTGATACCTCCCCAACTATAAAATTATTTTTGTTGCTATTTCATAACTGTAATTTTGCTACTGTTATGAATTGGGCCACACCTGTCAAAGGGTCCTTAGACCTCCAAAGGGGTGGAGACCCATAGGTTGAGAACCGCTACCCTTAAGTAACTTAACAGTAAGTTCTACAAGTCAGAAATCAGAGGGGGAAAAAAGTCAAAATCAAACAAAAGTTTTTTAAAAAGAGAGAAAGCTATAGCCATGACAGCTAAGAGCTATGTGAAAACACTGAACAGCTCACAGGAGGTGCTAAAAATGAGTTTAGAAGAAATGGAAAGTGAGCTGGGCCCAAAAAGCTGTTCAAAGTGGGAAGGGGAGGTGCAAGGCTAGGAAAGGAAATGTAAGGGGTGTCAGTCACAAGAATGTTAGCTTCAGGTAGAGTGAAAAACATCCAGGATATAGAGAGACTGGAGGATAATAAAAAGCTGAAAACAAAGTGTAGCATGTCCCAAGCATGTAGCATGACATCCTAAACAGTCAGAACTGCATAGTACATTGGCCAACCAAATCCCTGTTACCATGGGTCGGCTGGGACACACACTGAACCTATATTCCACAGTAGAAAGGACCAACGCAGGAAATGGGAAAGGGAAAAAGAATGGCGGGTTCCACCCCACTGCCATTTCCAAATTCGCCCCCAGAAAGGTTCCAGCACCAAAGTAAGCGCTGATTACAAACTGTAGAAGGGTTCAGAGCTCAGCAGTGACAGCCGCTTCAATGCCAGGACCGCAAGGTGCCCCGGTGGCCCGGTCTGTTGGAAGAGCTCCGGGCTGCTAACCACAAGGTCGGTGGTTCAACCCCACCAGCAGCTCGGAGAAAGTTGGGTAACTCCGCCCTCCTCCAGATTTAAGGAAAACTATATAGTAATATCGTGTGCCTGAGTCATGGCAGCACCTTCATCCGGATTACGCGGGGCCTGCACTTCACCCCAGCTCCACCGGTGCAAACTCCGGAGGCGGGGCCTGAACCTGCGCCCACCGATCTTCCTAGTCCATCGAGCTTCCGAGGGAAGTTGGAGAAGTGCCTTTTGAACTGCGCTGGGTGCAAGAAGGAACTGTTGATGGGCCGGGAAAGGGCTAAGGGTCGCCAAAGCCTGAGCAGGGACTAACTGCGGGCAGGCCCGTGGGCGGCGGGGGAAGAAGGGGAAGAAGGGAAAGGAGGAGGCGGAGGCCGAAATTTAAAAAGCCCTCGGGGGCCGACATTACCAACGCGAACAGCGCAGCAGTTTCTCCAGCCGGTCCAGCGCCGCGCGGCTATGGGCCCAAGCCCCGCCGCCGGAAGGCTCCATGGCGGGCGCGGGACTAGACTCGTTCCCGGAGCGGACGTTCGGCCGCCGGACCCTGGGCATCACCCCGCCTTCGCGGGAAAGCTTCCTCGGCCAGCAGGAGAGCTGGCGGACGGCAGCAAAGACGAAAACGCGCGGGTCCGGCAGTGGCCA